AAAGAGGGAGGGGGGGGGGAGATTAAAAAAACCCCCAAAAACGCAAACAAAACAAGTAAGAGAAAACACTTTATAATAATAATATATAACATTTATAGAGCGCATTTCCAAAAAAGTAGCTGAATGTGCTTTACATTGGAATATCCATTTTCAGAACAATTAAGCCCGTCTAATGCTACAAGAATCAACTTTTGAACCATGACCTATGACCTACCCTCTGTAAGAGGTCGAGGAGAATTTCAAAACGGGCGTTTTTCTCTTCCAGACTGTGACTGTCCGAGTCTCCATCCAGATGCTGCACCACCGTCTCCACAATCTCCAGCTGCTTGCGGTAACGCTCCAGATCCTCCCCCGGTAACTTGTGGCTCTCCTTCTCAAGGTACTCTTTGTACTGGTGAAGTAGAAAAATAAATCCACAGGTAAACTTTAAAAAAAAATATTTAAAAAAATAAATAAATAAAAAAATCAAACAATTCAAGTTCAGTTATGCATATTTTTCTCAATTTCTCATACCTCTGAGAAAAAGCTATTTCTTTCGAAATAAAAATAAAAATGCAAATAAAACTTATTTGGGCATTCCGAAAGTCCTTACCTTTTCCAACATCTTTCTCAAACAGGAAAAGAACTTCATATTCACTTATGCATTTCTGAGTTCTCCATTCATCTGACATCTCTAAGAAGAACTATTATTTTTAGTTTTAGTAGAGGTTTTACGGCGTTCGCAACTGCATAAGGTCATATGAGCGCCAGAAGATTAGAGCTGTTACAAGAGAGTAACAAACATAAAAAAGAAGGGGAGAGAAGGACAATAGATGTTTGATAAAATGATAGGAAAGAAGAAGCAAACCACACCAGAGCACCCGCCAACCACCCATCCGACATCTTTGATATAATCATAGTTATATCTTTTCTCAAATAGGAAAAGAACTTCATACTATTCACTTATGTATTCCTCACTTCTCCATTCTTCTGACATCTCTAAGAAGAACTGTTCTTTTTCCCAAATAGAAAAACAAATTCGTACTCATTAACTCTTTATCTCGGTTAGGCCGCTCCCAGAAAAACAAATTCCAATTCATTAACTCTTTATCTCCGTCAGGCCGCTCCCAGCGGCTCGCGGTCGGAACCACTGTGCTAGTGAACCGCTGACAGCGGCTCGGGCACATTCCTTTACAACGACTTCAACATCAAATTATTTTTAGGCAATTGCCGAAAACAGGTCTCTTATACCGGAAGTTCATTCATTAGATGGAGAACTATCGAAATGACCCATTTAAAGACTTTTTTTTCAGACTGGCACAATCAGTAGAAAGACCCTCAGCAACATTTTGGAGAGAGCAACAGAGCATCAATAAACATGTCTGGAGTGCAGGGATGCTGCTTCCTGAAACAATGAACCTTTCAATTATTTCATTTTTAGATTTAGCGCCAAAAAAGGCCCCCAGACGTAGTGGGTTTACCCCCCTCAGAGATAAAGAGTTAAAGTGTTCTAATCACTCCTCAAAGTGTCAAGGAAAACAAAACAGATCCCAGTCACAGATGAGGTAGGAAAAAGGCGGTGACGATGGATTGGACATACTCTCAGGAAGTCAGGCAGCTGCATAACAGAGAAAGTTTAGGATTGGAACCCACAGGGTAAGAGATCAAGGGGAAGACCGCGCGGAACCTGGAGAAGAATTGCAGAAATTGATGTACAGAAAAGTGGGATGACATGAATAACATCAAGATGTTAGCCCAGGATAGAGAAAGGTGGAAGGTGTTTGTCCGTGGCCTATACCTTGATGCAGGGCGGGAAAGTGTTTGTCCGTGGCCTATACCCTGGTGCAGGG